AGACTACTTGCTAATTAGGTTCCCCACTTGACATGAGCTCAGTCAATTTTTGGCCAAGGCAAGTCCATTTGCCACACATATATTACATATGACATCAGGTATGGTGCTTGCTGGCATTGTCAACCAACTGATCGATGGAGCATGCAAAGCCCTCTGCCTTTTTTCACAGAGTTGATTTCAAACCCCTCAGGCAAAGGAAAATAGCTCATGTGACAAGCTTGGCTCGCCACAAGTGAGGGTGGTAAGAATCGAGTTCCTCATTCCTGAGCTGAAGTAGCATATCAGCCCTACAAATGTTCCTTGGAAACCTACCACTTATTTCTGCTGGAAACAACTTTATCTGTGTTCAAGGAAGCTTTGGTGGTACCACTGAAAGCAACATGTATGCCTACAAACAGCTGTGCAATATTCTTAATTATAAGCAATTAACAATGGAAAGATACGTAAACTGTGTGTCGAAAGGTAAAACCCTTCTTGCAAGCATGCTGACCACAATCCATCTTCTGTTGAAGTCAGCGGGGTGACAGAACTCCCACTGCTGGATTGTACAGTTTGGGTAGGGTTTCTATAAGGACACACTTTGGAAACAGGAATTTAAGAAGATTTTCTTGCAAATGAAGCTCACTTTGCAGAGCCAGGCACAATTCAAAACATGCCATTCACCATTTCCTTATTTTTGACGGAAGAGCCCCTCACTCAACCTCCTCCTTCTATGAGGATATCTACCTGCACAGAGACAGTGGGTTGAATACTGAGCTGGACTGTAGTGTTTACATTTATATCCCGCCTTTTCTTCAAGGAGTTTAAGGTTCTTCCCCTCCCCATTTTATCCTTACAACAAACCTGTGAGGCAGGTTAAGCTGAGAGGCCCAAGGTCGCCCAGTAAGCTTCATGGCTAAGTGGGAATTTGAACCCTGGTCTCCCAGATACACCACACTGACTATAGTCAGTTAGGCAGGACAACATGAGGCAATTACCCACCTTTCCAAAACTAGACGTTCCCGTCAACAAATGTGTGACTGGTACAGTAGATACAGGACTGTTGAGTGGGTTTCAAAAGAGTATCTTATAATACACGATGTCGTATGTTTGGCAAACTGGCATTTAAGCTTTGCATTGGACTTGCTACCAGCCCAGACATACACCTAACTGTGTATTCCACATCCCTGCTGCTGCCACCTTCATTTGCCCTTGACTTGGCTCTGCTTCCTACCTAACTTTGTCCTCTATGCTAATCAAGGGACAACTTTAAATTTGCTTAATTCATATGACATTGCACAGTGTTTGGTAGTAGTCTGTTCTGTTTTTATTTGGCTCGTGTATCTGTAGGTAAAATACCCATGAATGTAGTCGTCCACCTCTATCAAGAACTACCTACAGAGCTTTACTATTCATCAGCAGAATGGCAAGTACTAGAAAGGAGGGGTCCTTCAGAAGCACTTGTTCTTTTTAAGAGTAATGAAATGTATAGTTAAATGTTGGAATAAATTTCCACACCATGTGGTACCTGCAGTGGAATACAGGAGGTGGTGTAAGAGAAAGGGTAAAAGCAGAGACTAAATTTTATTGTTTATTGCAAACACTGCACAGGAACCGGGCACTGGCTTGAGCAATAACACAGTTTTCATATTACAAACACCTCAACATATAATTGAAGGGACAGCCCTATCATGTTATTACATTTTCAGAAATCTCATCTATGTTTAATACCAGGAGATCGCAACAACTATACAGAAGGTTTTTTGAATAACAATGATATTGTAGCAGAACAGTTGCACTGGCCATTGCTGCATCTACTTTGCACTGATATTTGCACGGTCTATGAGATGGGTGCAGAATCTGTGGTCTCCAAATGTTGATGGACTACAAATTCCACCATCCCTGGCCACTGGCCACGCTGGCAAGAGCTGATGGGAACTGAGGTGCAGCAACACCTGGAAGGACACAGGTTTCTCACCCTCGTCTGTGACCTTGGCTCTGGAAGAACTGATAGCAATTAATTCGGGATGTCATGTTACATTGAACTGATGCAGAAGTTACAAGCCTGTATTTTAAAAGTCTTGCAGCTTCCTTTTGCTACGTCAACAGATCTAAATGCAAGAATTTCATCTCTTAAGTGTGAACGTTTCACAGGTGGAAAAATCTGGCAGATAAAGATCCTCACCATCATCTGAACACTCGAACTTGACTTCCTTTTCTGATTTGACCAGTCAGAGGGAAAGGAAAAGAAGAAAATGTGACTGGTTGGATTTGAGGTATCAATGCATGGAGAACAGTATATTGTTTGTTTGTTCTAAGAACAACCTAATATACAGGTATTCAGGATGGGAGTGGGATCTCCTGCATGAGAAAAATTGTGAAAACAAATACTTTGATAAGATGCACACTCTCCACCCGCCACTTCATAGGACTGCAAACACAAACGCAAAACAGAATCCTGAACACACAGCAAAGAAGACCCCCATAAGTGTAGTGGTACTAGCAAAGTGTTGGCAACAATTATACTTAGCATTACTGTTTAAACAGACCAATTTTGACAGAGATGGTTACAGACATACAAGACCTTAGTACTGAATGAAACAAGCTGTCTGAATTAAACCACATTTTAGGTAAGTTACCCTATTGAAATTACCCAGTTAGGAACACTGGAAAGGACCAGGTTGACTTTGGATAATGTCCTTTTGTAAAGTGCCCAAATTATTGAAGGCAGTGGAGACGAACACCCTGTATTCCCCTCAGTGATTCAAGCAATATATTGAAATAGGTCCAGTTAATCTTGGAATTTGTGCTTGGTCCATGGAAGCAACAGGTTGCCAATGGCTGGTTTTGATTAAAGATAGGTTGGACCTAAGTGATTAGGGAGCCTGTAAGTGAATTATGAAAGGGTATACATGTTATGAGTCCAAGAGAAATATACAGTGAATTAGATATTTAAAGGTAAGTAACAAACTTCAAGAAAAAGTTGCAAGGATAAAAGCTGATGTCAAATACATATTTCAATGAAAACTTGCAAAACAGAAGAAATGGAAGTTACATTTTCTAATATTAGCTGGATTGCTTTATTTTGTGTTTCCAAGTCCTTCTGGGAAGAAGAAATATTCCCTCCCCACCCCCACCCCTCCAGCTCTTCCTTGGCTATTTTGCAAAGTATTTACCCGGAATCTTTAATTTACAGAGCTTCTCTCCTATTACGGAATTCTGAGGTCACCCAAGTTTAGAAACTCTAAATCACATAGGAAAACTGCAAGATTGTTCTGCTTCTTACGGACATCTTTTATTCGGTGTAAACTTATGCACTGACTTCCGCCAAAACACACCAACTACTGCTGGCAGAACCCAGCTCAAGGGCTGCCAACCCCTGAGGTATAACCTTCTGACAAATGGAATACCAAGGACACATGGAGGTTGCCTTCCCAAATGGCTGGTCCATGATCAGCTGCAAAGCAGTGACTTAATTTTATTCAAGCATATATATTTTCTTTTTCTTAAAAAGCAAACCCTAAAGGAAGAGGACCAGTTATTTCAGTGCCAAAGTAAAGAGAATTTAGAAAGTCACATGGTAATGAAAAGTAAATGAGACGTATCATTAGATGACCTCAGTATTTGTAGCCTACCTTCACTCCATCAGGTTTCTTCAGTAAACTCTTGGCTGCTATAAATTGAAAGGAAATAAACAATGTCAGCCAATGTAATTCGAAATCAATGAAATAAACAAATGAACAAACTGGGTGTATTTCCCCCCGTCTACCCTTTGCATTTATCATCACATTTAAAACATCTTACCATACCATTTTTATATTCTGCCTTGCAGTTGTCTTTGTTTTAAATATTTGCTTGTATCTATATTAAGTAGTGATGTATGGAAGTGAGAGCTGGACCATAAAGAAGCCGAAGAATTGATGCTTTTGAATTGTGGTGCTGGAGGAGACTCTTGAGAGTCCCATGGACTGCAAGAAGCTCAAACCTATCCTTTCTTAAGGAAATCAGCCCTGAGTGCTCACTGGAAGGACAGATCATGAAGCTGAGGCTCCAATACTTTGGTCACCTCATGAGAAGAGAAGACTCCCTGGAAAAGACCCTGATGTTGGGAAAGATGGAGGGCACAAGGAGAAGGGGACAACAGAGGACGAGATGGTTGGACAGTGTTCTCGAAGCTACCAACATGAGTTTGACCAAACTGCGGGAGGAAGTGGAAGACAGGAGTGCCTAACGTGCTCTGGTCCATGGGGTCATGAAGAGTCGGCCATGACTAAACGACTAAACAACAACAACAACAACATATTAAGTATAAAAAGGTAAAGGACCCCTGACAGTTAAGTCCAGTCGCAAACGACTCTGGGGTTGCGGCGCTCATCTCACTTTACTGGCTGAGGGAGCCGACGTTTGTCCGCAGACAGTTTATCCAGGTCATGCGGCCAGCATTACTAAGCCACTTCTGGCGAAACCAGAGCAGCACATGGAAATGCCATTTACCTTCCCGCTGGAGCGGTACCTATTTATCTACTTGCACCTTGACGTGCTTTCAAACTGTTAAGTATAGATGCCTATAATACCAGTAAGATTTTTATTGCTGAGTGTAGAGCATTAAAACCTCCACACGGAGGTAATATTGGCTATTAGATCTCTAGATTATTTCTGTGCATTCATGCAGACCTGGAACAGGTAACAACTTCTCTGGAAGACAAAACCGTTATATCCAATAAATTTTTTTGGCATAGAGGTGAAGGAGAAATAACAGTTTGTCACTGCCATTCAGCAGTTTAAAACACATGCACTGAAACATCTACCTGTGAAAGGTATCTGGAAGACCAGCAGATTATCATGTTACAGGTGCAGTGAGTCTTAAAGCCTAGGTGCTGCAAACAAGTGAACCATTTACTACTATTTTGAGATGCTTTGTTACGAAAAAAGGACTGATACATTTTTAGTTCATAGAATTGTAGAGTTGGAAGGGACCACGAGGGTAATTTAATCCAACTCCCTGCAATGCAAGAATCTTTTGCCCAATGTGGGGTATGAACCCACGACCAAGAAATTAAGTGTCTCATGCTCTACCAACTGAGCTATTTGTCTCTTAACACCTAGGTCCAACCAATCTTTACTAATTGTAGATTGGTTTATAAGAACAACAATGCTACGGATAAATATATTTGATAGAATATTGGAAAAAGCCCAAGAAAAATGCATCCAAGTTGCAGTACTGAGCATCTGAGGAAAAACATCAGGTTCCAAGGATGGACTAATATCATGTGTCATACCTGGGGCCATTGTGTAGTTAAAAGAAAAAGAGAATGTTTGGTGCATTGATTTGTTTCCAGCAATTTGCCTGTAAAGCATACTGTAGATGAAATTAAAAAGACTAAACATTTTAATCCCACTGCCTTCAATGAAACCTCAGCTATTATCCGATGAAACTTTTCATTGATTTAAGCATATATATTTTTCATACATATGACCATGCTATAAATTGTAAACAATTTCTCCTGGATGGTGCTCAGCAGTTTGTTTTTTTAGTAAGAGAGCCAGAAGTAGGAATACTTTGCAAATACACAATATAATTTATTTCCCTCTTCTTTGGTTGTCACATCTATCTTACTGTGGCTTTGTGCACACAAGGAATTTGCCCCAATAGAAGCAGCGTGGAAAAGACTAGGGTCAGATTATCATTAAGAATTTAAACCCAACTGCCATTAAAATTTTGCAATATTCAGACAGATATAATCACTTTCTTTTAAATTAAGGTGGTTCAGAATAATACTCATGTGTGAAAGTATGATGTTGATAATCATAAAGGAAGCAATTTTCTAAATTATAAATGCATTTCGAACTATATCTTTCACAAGATATTTTGAGGAAATTGCACCATATTATCAATACAAATATAGCCATCTTAGTACAAGTGAAAGAATTGCCCATGCAGATATTTTACTGTGCTCTAAATAGAAAACAGGGAAACTGAGTATCTGTTTGGCAACTTACCAGATGGAGTCCTGTGCATGGTGATGGGGACACCATTGCATACACAAGGAAATGTCTGCTATGGGTACTATACCTACATAGATCTCCATCAGGAGTGGGGAACTCTTCCCAGCCTGAGGGCCACGTTGCCTCCAGGCAGGGCAGTTCAGCATGTGGCCCTCGATGCCTTTTTGGTGGCCCTTGGCAACATTTGACGCCCCCTCCCTGCAGTTCTTGCGCTGCCTTTTCAAAGCCTGGTAAGCAAGGTGCTGGGCTTTGGAATGGAGGTGTGGGGGCTCTGACAGGTTCCTAGAGTCCTCCAACCTTCTTCCCAAAGCCTAGTCTGTGCTTTCCCAGCTTTGGGGACAAGGTGGGAGGGCTCTAGGACCTTGCCAGAGCCTTATGCTTCCTTCCCAAAGAAGGACACCTTGCTTAGCTGGCTTTGGGAAGGCAGAAGAAGGGCTGGGGAGGCATCAAATTTTGGGCTCACTCTCCCCTTCGCACAAGGCAGTGTGCAGCCCACAGGTTCCATATCAAAGTACTCTTGTGGCCTACTTGGTATGAAAAGTTGGACCGCTCTGCTCCAGGGGTCACATATCAGTGGTGGGTGGACCACAAGCAAATGTGGGCAGATCAATTAATGAAATGTTTACCTTTGCAGAGTAGGCTAGTTTCTACACACACTCACACACTCCTCTTTGTCCTCCATCCGGGGAAGAAAGAGGAATTATCAGAGTTCAAGGTCACATTCCAATCTGACAAATACTCAAAGAGGGTGCAAAGAAGGGTCAGTTAGGGATGGTGCTGGCTTGGAAAAGGTCTCAAGGGCTACATAGGCTTGGAGGACTGTATTCAGTACCCAGACTTAAGGCTCCCCACCCCTGGTCTTCGTGAACAACCTGCAAGTTCATTTTCCAATTAATATAGCCCTCTGTTTGAGGAAGAAATAATGAGCAATCATACACACATGTTGCTTGCATCACCCATTACCTCATGTGGGAAATGGCAGAGCATAATGTGCTGTGCAAGCTATTTCCCATACATACAGAAACCCATGGTCTTTATTCATCGTATTTACAATTCCACTACAGTGATACAACATACATTTAAAGAATAAGTCCTTTATCTGAGAATGAAGTAGCAACCCAACTGTCAACCATTAGAGCTAAATATCTGCTGCAAACAATGAGGCAATATCGTTGAAATGTCACAGCCATTTGTGGCACTGTGCTGCAGCAGCAATCAGTACGACTGGAGCACACATTTTTAAACATTATAAACAATTAAGGGATAAAAGCACAAATGAAAAGAATGACAACTTTGCTAGTAACTAAGCTTAGTGAACTTGTGGCATATTGGCTTAGATGTAATGAGCACATGTTGGATTGGCTTTTGAAAGTTCTTTGGGTTATATTTCATTGTATATCAACAGAACAACTATGACAGCCATAAATTTGGAATTCACCCCTTCTACTGTAAGCACTGCTGTAATAAGTACTATGGGGCAGTAAGTAAAATATATCCAACCAAAAGTTCATAATTAATCTCAGCTACAAAAGCCACTGGGCTGGGCTTTGAACCAATCACTGGCCTAGTTCAGATATACATTTCCCAGCTAGCGAAAACACACTTTAGCAACCAGGAAGGAACATCCGGACAATATGCTCCACCCTTGTCTCCCACATTCCTTCCTTAGTGTGAAGATCCAGGTTAGCTTTAACCACAGTTCTTCTTTATAGCCAAAATGGGGAACTGTGGTTTAATGTCAGCTTACTACCACCATCTTAAACCATGTGCAAACTGTGGGTAAATATCCTGATGCTGCACGGTATCACATTGTTCCAGAAATAATGGGAAGATGTAGTTTTAAGCTATACGGTATTGGCACGCCAAGGAAGGGAAAGGACAAGGGAGGGAAGGGGAGTTCTGACGCTCATTCCCAGTTACTAAACTATGGTTTAGCAAACTAGGAAATGGATATCTGAATTAGGAAACTAACTCTCATTTTAACTTACCTCACAGGATTATTTCAGCCAAAAGAGATACATTTGATGCTACAGTATCAAAATATACAAAGTGGTGATTTACACTGAGCATATTGTAACCATTCATTTGAACCTGTAGAGGATAGTTACAATGAAAGACTTGTTTCGCAACAGACCAATTTCAATTAAGTATATTCCCTAATAACCATTGAGGGAAAAAAAGACCTGAATTTTTGCCAATTTTTCATAGTAAAAAGGTCATGAATTTAAATAATGTCCTACTTATATATCAGCTAACCCAAAGAAACGGAATTGAGGCTGGAACTGGATGTTATTAGAGTCGTATGACTGTTGTGAAAAACAGCATCTTTGTGTCTCCTCTCTCTTTCTCTCCCCAGTAACATCTAGTACTACAAAGTATGCCATGATTTCATACCCACTGAAAGTTCCCTTGCCCCCACAAGCAGCAGCCAATGAAATGGAGCAGAGGAGGCCGGAAACTCACAGAGTGATAACGTCACGGGACTGCTATAACACCCAGTTCCATCCAGACACAGCGTACCAAAAAACAAGAGTGATTTGGGACAGGCAGCACATTGTTTGGGAGAATGAAGATAAAAACATTCCTCTCAGCTCCCGAGGGGGCTTACCTCACAAGAAACATACATTCCACATTACAGGGAGAACAACAAAAAAAGGAAATAAATAAATAAAACACTTTTATAGATACATCATTATGGACAATTTACTCCCCAAAAAGGCATGCGATGCAACAAAAAAAATCAAAATTAGATTCCCCTGGATGGCACCTTTTCTTAAATTAACCACAGTAGACAAGTGCCACTCAAGAAGAACGGAAAGAACAGAACAGGGTCAATTCAAGAATGGATGAATGCAGTAATATATTAAAATTATTCTTTGTTCTGGGGAAGGTTGCAAAAAAGGAGAGAAAATTACAGTGGATATAGGATGCTGAACAACAACCATTGCAGGTGACCAGACACATCTTTAAATCTATTTTTGTTGAGAAGATAGTTAGTTTGATATTTCCACTAGAACTAAGGTTAAATGGGTGGGTGTGGCAGTTTCGTAAAAACATTCATTAGATTCCTCACTACCATTTTAATCATTTCCCACAAGCAGTGGGCATGAACAGCCACAAAAAGGTAAGATTAACACCTCTTGCTACAAAATCAAAACTTTTGTGGCAACAATTGGACCTGAAGAATACTCAGTTCATTTGCACTTGATTCTTACATGGAACTTAACACAGTTCTTGGTAGTTTATTGTTATCCTAGCATATAACAGAGAGGCTGGGCTGTGTACTTGATAAGAGCAATGCCTTTTAATTTCTCCTATTACCAGTGTAAACTCTCCCATTCACATTTAAATTTGTAAAGTACTTAACTCTGTCACAACTGTATCCTGGTTCAGTACTTGTTATATCAGTGAACAGATAGGTTGGGGGCTATTCGCAATCTGTTTGGGTTTTCACTAACCTGAATAATTTGCTATTATAGCCTGGTTTTAGCCAGAAGTCTTTACTTCACTTTGATGCTCAGCTGAAGGTGGTAGGTGTTAAATTTGACACCATATATCTCAAGTGTTCTGCCATAGTTTAAAATGTGATAGGCTAATCATAAATTAATGAATGATATTACGGAGACAAAGGTATTGGGCCCATAGGTGCCTACTTTCCCTATTTGCTAATCGGGCACTGTCTGCAGTGGCAAATTCAACAAATGGTGGCAAGATGTTTTGTTGGTAATAAGATAATGGAGATTGCTCTCTAGATTCTATCTATGTTTCTATCTATGTATCATCTAGGTTTCGCATTTTATATTCTCCTCAAGTGATAGATGCTCTCTAGATTCTATCTATGTTTCTATCTATGTATCATCTAGGTTTCGCATTTTATATTCTCCTCAAGTGATATACGTCTTTGCAAATTAGTATGAGAATATCATGTAGAAAAGTTATTTGAAAGGTTGAACTGGACTAGCAAGTTTTCAACTTTCACTTTCCAAACCATCTTTAAAGTTATAATTTTTGGGTTCCTCAACCGGTATTGGCTGCCAAACGGGAGGTCCTTATAAAACAAAACATGTAAATGTGGCCATAATCTGCC